TGACAGAGCATACCTTACTACCGTCATACCTTACTACCTTCTACTAGATGATATCCTTTCTCTCTCTCCCTGTAGTTTTACCACACAGGCAAACACAGGAAAAAAAGGTGGAGAGGCAGGATGATGGAGGGAAATGGTTACTGAAGCAGAACATTAGAAGTTAGTTGATTAGAGTTAAACCTACAGAAAGTAAGCTAAGAAATCTATGAAAGGAAATAAATGCATAAAGCCCACAGTGTAAAAGCAAATGCCTTACTTAATCAACCAAGAAAACTAGAAGGAGCTTGAATCTCTAAAGTGGCCTAGAAATGCTTTAGGAAGCAAGGACAAGTTGGTAATGGATTGAACAACATGTGGCAGCAAAAAAAAAAAAAAAAAAAAAACTACAAGCAAGCATCACTCTCAGCAAAAATGTTTAGGAAAGAAAGAAAATGAAACTAGGCCAAAAATGCTTAACTTCCTAGGACTCGTGTTTCGTCTCTGAGATCAGACTATACCATGTTCTTACCAAAAAGGCTTTGAAAAATCAAGGGTTTTTTTGTTTTTTATTTCATTTTAGAGACGGGGTCTCACTATGTTGCCTAGCCTAGTGTGCAGTGGCTATCCTTAGGCACAATCATAGCGCCCTACAGCCTTGAACTCCCGGGGTCAAGCAATCCTCCTGCCTCAGGCTCCTGAGCAGCTGGGACTAAGGTGCACTGGCCTCAAGAGTTTTAAAGATAAAAGGTTTTAGGCAGGGCTCCATAGCTTACTAGCTGTAAGTCACATAGCTGAAACCAAGGATTCCTCATCTATAAAATAATACTAGAAATCTGTCTTGCCTATGATACAGGGTTACAGGAAGAATGATTGAAACAGTCTATGAATCAGCTCTATGCTATGAAGTGCTATCTGGTGAAATCGAAAAGTATTTTAAGCATTTCAGATATTCTGCTTTCAATGTATCCTTTTGTGTCAGCACTCTACAAACTAGAGAGAAAGTGCTCAAGTTTGAAGATTCAGGGTGGATCTTCCAATTCAGAAACTACTTTTTAAAATTTAGATTCTTTTTTAATACTTTCGGTCAAAATTTCTAAACATTACTGTCTTGACACTCATTGTTATTAACTCTTGCTTGTTAGCTTAATCAAATTTAAACTACACCTAGCAAACTGGCTCAAAAACAAAAACAAAAACCAAAAAAAGAAAACAATAAACTGATGAATCCTGGCTACCCAGGAGGTTTACCCAGCCATGATGTGAGGCCATAATACCTATTAATAGCCAGATTTGTATACCTTGGTTGTCAGGTTTAAAACAACCAACTGAAGCAACACTAGAAATACAGCACATGCTATTGAGAGGTTAAAAAAAAAAAGGACCTGGTCTCTTATAGAGATTACTGTCAGAAACAATGCTGACTAAAATCTAACATAGTGAAATATTTCTTAGATTACAATTTCTTTATTTGACTTTCTGGTTGTTGAAGACAGCCTACTTAGTAAATTTCTTTTATAACTCCCTATGCTCACATAAACATTTAACTAAAATGCTAAAAAAGAACAAGTACTTTAATATACAATTGAAAATTAATTCCAAATTGGTCCACTCAGTTTCTACATTGAGGAAAGTACTATGCTAGTTGTGTTCTTTCAGGTTTATATTCTAATGGGTCAAGTATTTCAAAGCTCTCTCATCACTATGCTTATGAGCCAATGAGAGATGGAAGGAGGGATTCCATAATCCCAAATTTATTTCTCTTAACAGATGAGATGTACATAGCAACCTATCAGCTGATGGTGATTTTTATCCACCTTTAAAGGAGTACACTAACCTTTTTTATTTCACCTCTCTGTTATGAAAATGAGTATCGTTTATAAACTTTGTCTAAAGAGTCAGGTTCATCTAACACTATTCTGTAATTTTATTGAGACCAGAGTGTTCAAGATTCAATCTGAACTGACATTTAGGGTCTTCTAAATTGAGAATCTGTATTTGCGCTAAATGTACTAACTAAAAGGCTAAGCAAGTCATAAAAGGAAAGCACTTCTAATCATCTCCAAAATGTGTTAAGGATATTAAGACAATGGCCTATCATGAGATAGATAATGCTGTAGCAGCTGTCGGGCCAAATAAATGTTTTTAACATACAAAATCCATCAGAAATCTGCCAGTTGTTGGCAATCAATCTTCATGAAAAAGTCACCCAGTGGAAAAAGTAAGAAAACAATAAAAGCACTTTACTGAAGATCTACCAAGACTTGAGATGATTTTGTGGTGAATGGCAACAAAATAACATGAAAATTAGTAATTTAAAATGTATTACCTGATCAAGAATTCTTCCCATTCTGTCAAACAGCACTTTCAAAAAATGACCTTCAAAGAAAGCTGCTTCTAAATTGCACTTTTCCAATGCTTTTGGAGACCCAGGCCACTCCCATCTTAAGCAGATAGCACAGTAGTCCCGGAACTACGGGGAAAAAAGCATGTGAATCATTAAAGAACAAAAACAAATTAAGATGAAATAGAAATGATTTCCTCAAATAGGCATATAAAAAAACCATTTGAATGCAGAATGTCTGCTATGCTTGAGGTACCAAGGGAGAGGGGAAAGAGATGACACAGATCTTTCTGTGACTAGGGGCACAGGTAAGATTATATTAACTGCTGGTACCAATATAAGTTGATGAAAAAGAGACATATTTTAACTTTACTAAAATACCCAACAGCTCTTTCCTTTAAAGGAAGTTAACGCTTTAGTTACTTTCATCACCGATTTAGAGGACATTTAGAAAGAAAAGTCAGACCTAGCCAAGGTTTCAAATGTATTCTAAAATGGTATATACCACAGATGAACTGATGCACATTATCTGAGAAGACAAGCCTGCCGTTCCTAGAATGGACGCACACTTGGCATGATGTCATGATAGGATCAAACAGTGCTGCTCAGAAATGGTCCATGGACCAGTGCTGGTCCCCAAAGTGTTCATTACCGTCCACCATGAGATGAGGACAAAAAGCAAGAGCAAGCACTTAAAAGCATTCCTAACAATTTGACTATGAAGAGTTTTATGTCTGTTGAATCTAAGTACGAAATAATCAGGGTTTGTATTTTGGGTCTTTTTTTTCTTTTCATTTTCTATAATAGGAATTAATTTTTTTTTTTTTTTGATACAGAGTTTCGCTCTTGTTGCCCAGGCTGGAGTGCAATGGCACTATCTTGGCTCGCCGCAACCTCCGCCTCCCAGATTCAAGAGATTCTCCTACTTCGGCCTCCCGAGTAGTTGGGATTATAGGCAAAGTGCTGGGATTATAGGCATGAGCCACTATGCCTGGCCAGGAATTCATTTTTATTGTATTTTACAAAAGTGTTGGTCTGTGACAGATTAGAAATTAAAAAAAAACCCACAAAAACAAAAACCCAGTCTTTCACTACAGATAGTTATCAGTGAAGCAGTGTGAATATTTACAAACACAAGAATATTTCATATAATAAAAATGAATTTTAAAAGTCTCCCCAATATGTAATTTACTTGAATTGAAACAAAAGAAATTTAAAGCACTGTTTTCTTCCATATGCCTTCCCTCTTCAGATTCTCCTTATTTAATAAAGCAAAATTACTTTAATCTCTCTAGTTTAGAAATTACCTGAAATTAAAACAGAACATGGCAGCCGGGCGCGGTGGCTCATGCCTGTAATCCCAGCACTTCGGGAGGCTGAGGCGGGTGGATCACGAGGTCAGGAGATCGAGACCATCCTAGCTAACACGGTGAAACCCCCTCTCTACTACAAAATACAAAATTAACCAGGTGTGGTGGCAAGTGCCTGTAGTCCCAGCTACTCGGGAGGCTGAGGCAGCAGAATGGTGTGAACCTGGGAGGTGGAGCTTGTAGTGAACCGAGATCGCGCCACTGCACTCCAGACTGGGAGAGAGAGTGAAACTACGTCTCAAAACAACAACAACAACAACAACGACGACGACGGAACATGGCCAGGCGCGGTGGCATGCGCCACCACGTCCAGCTATTTTTTGTATTTTTAGTAGAGACGGGGTTTCACCATGTTGGCCAGGCTGGTCTCGAACTCCTGACCTCAAGTGATCTGCCCACCTCGGCTTCCCAAAGTGCTGGAATTACAGGCGTTAGCCACTGCGCCGACCCAAATCTCAATTTTTAAGAAATAATTTTTACATTAATACTTATTATATTCTGACTTGGAAAGTAATATTTTAATTTCTTCTATCCTTTTTGTTTTTCTAGTATTTCTGAAACAATCATAACTGCATTTTAATCACAAAATCGAAAATGAGAGAAACTTTACAGAAAGAATAAAAGCAGTTTAAAAATCTAATCGGTAGTGCCGAAAAGATATGTTTTTATTGTCTTTGATTGTTATTTGAATGTTACTTGCTACTCCATTTATTCATCATGCAGACAAATTCATGTATTTATGTGGACTTTAAAGTATTATGAATTAACTATGTGCATATGCAGATTAGTTATATATAATAGCATACTTCAATCTAAATAATTTAAATGAAAATTAAATGTATATTTTTCAGATTTGAGAAATTTCAAATTTTAGACTGTAAATTTTAAAATTCTTTTTCAAATTTTGAAATATTTTATTCTGGTTATTTATTCAACAAATACTAAATAGTTACTGATATTGTAAAATGTATAAATTTCTAAGGTACATATTTTGTGGGATTTAATGGTAAATCAGGCATGAATCCTACCCTCAAGAGACTGATTATTACAACCCCAAGACAAGAAAGAAAACACAAAGGACCACACAAGATGAGAGATAATGCCATGAGCATGAAGACGAGTAGTTACCTTTACTGTTGGGAAGGGAGAGGAGAAAGAGGGTAAAAAGAATAAATCACAAGCTGGCATTTAATCTGGATGTTGAAGACAGTGGAGAAATATAGATATCAGATGGTGGGTGAGAAATAAGAGGAGAACCTTGCAGACAAACAGAATAGCATCAATTAATGCACGTAAATGTTATATTTGGATAGCGAGTGAAAGTCATAGTAAGAAATACAGAAAAGCAGGCTGAAAAATGATCCAAAAGGATCCTGAATTGTAAGATTTGATGTCTAAGTATTTATACTTTATGAGTTAATAAAGAAGAAGGGGTTCTCAGATGCACACTTGAATGAGATTAATCTGTTAATGGCTTCTAAGCAGAAGGAACAAGCTGGGGAAACAAGTGATGAGGCTACTGTAATCCTGGCAGAGGTAATAAAGATGTAAACTAGGATTCTGAAAGCAAAAAGCAAAAATGGAGAAGGGGGCAGACAGGAGAGATATAGTAGGGGCAAAACTGATATAACTTGGCAATAGACTAGAGGCTAAAGAGAATAGAAGACCAATGAATCCCACCCAAGCAACTCTGAAATAAAACCTTGGATGACCAGGAGGATGGATGTGCCACTGACCAGAGCAGGAAACAAAGGAGCAATGCAGTTTTAGAGGAATCAGTTGTAAGTTCTACTTTGGAAAGATAAAGTCTGAGGTCTTAGAAGAACATCTGAGTGGCTGAGGTTAGAGCTTTGGGGACACCTCAGATAGAGAATTCACGACAGGATGAATGCTAAACCAAAAGAATATCAAAGGAATGAAGATAGAAAACAGGGCCACTGATAGATAGTTTTGTTTTTTTGGCCATATCATAATATGGGGGACAGAGTAAAAATGACACCTGAGACCTAAAAGCAGCAGCAGCAAAGAATGATGCTGCAGAAACCTTAAAAAAGGAGAAAGTTTGAAATGGTGGGGGCTGGGATGGGGGGTGGGAGGTGGTTTAAACAACTTCAGCGAAGTTACAGGATAGACGCTCAATACACGAAAACCAGCAGTATTTCTACATTAGGAAAGATCAGAAAATGAAGTTCACAGAATAATTTCACTTACAATAAAGAAATACTTAGGAATAGATTTAACGAAGGAAGTGTAAGACTGTACACTGAAAACTGCTTTTTTTTTTTTTTTCCTGCAGAAATGGACAAAGTAATCCTAAAATTAATATGGAATTACAAGGGACTCCAAATAGCCAAAATAATTTTGAGAAAGAAGTAAGTTAAAGGATTCATACTTCTCAATTTCAAAACTTACTACAAAACTGCAGTAATCAAGACAGGGTGGTGCTGGGATAAGGACAGGTACATAGGTCAGTGGAATAGAATTGAGTCTTCAAATAAACTTTACACTTAGAGTCAATAAATGGAAAATAGCCTTTCACCTAGTGCTGCAGAGACAACTGGATGTCTACATGCAAAAAAAATGAATCTGAATCCCACTTCACACTATATACAATAATTAACTCAAAATAGATTAAAGACTTAAATGGATAAACTAAAACCATGAAACTCTTAGAAAGAGATTTAGGTGAAAATCTATGTAATCTTGGTTAGGCAATGATTTCTTAGGTATGGCACAAAAAGCACAAAGAAAAAATAGTTAAGTTGCACTTCATCAAAATTAAAAACTTTTGGCCAGGTGCAGTGGCTCACACCTGTAATCCCATCACTTTGAGAGGCCAAGGTGGGCAGATCACTTGAGGCCAGGAGTTCGAGACCAGCCTAGACAACAGGGTGAAACTCCATCTCTACTAAAAATACAAAAATTAGTTTGGTGTGGTGGTGCAAGCCTGTAATCCCAGCTACTCAGGAGGCTGGGGCAGGAGGATCGCTTGAACCCAGGAGGTGGAGGTTGCAGTGAGCCGAGATCGTGCCACTGCATTCCCACCTGGATGACAGAGTGAGACTCTGTCTCAAAACAACAACAACAAAAAACAAAAAAACAAAATTACGTGTCGAACGACAGGACACTATCAAAAAAGTGAAAAGGCAACTGCCAAATGGGAGAAAATATTTGTAAATAATATATCTGATAAGGATCTACTATGCAGAATATGTAAGGGACTCTTACAACTCAACAATAAAAAGACAAATAGCCCAATTAAAATACAGGCAAAGGATTTTTTTACTTTTTATTTTTTGGGGACAGGGTCTTGCTCTGTTGCCCAGGCTGGAGTGCAGTGGCACCATCATAGCTCACTGTAGCCTTAAATTCCTGAGCTCAAGCTGTCCTCCTGCCTCTGCTTCCCAAGTAGCTGGGACGACAGGTGCATGCCACCACACATGGATAATTTTTAAAAAAAATTTTTGTAAAAATGGGATTGTCCAGGCTGGTCTCAAATTTCTGGCTTCACGTGATCCTTCCACCTTGGCCTCTCAAAGTGCTGGGATTACAGGTGTGAGTCGCTACACTTGGCCAGGATTTAAATATTCTTCAAAGAAGAGTACAAGTGTCTGCTAAGCACATGAAAAGTTACTCAACTTCATTAGTCATAAGGCAATGTAAATCAAAACCACAAGGACACACCACTTCACACCTCCTAGGGTAGCTATAATTTAAAAAGAAAAAGTATTGGCAAGGAAATGGTGAAATTGGAACCCTCATGCACTGCTGGCGTGATGTAAAATGGTGCCACCACTGTGGAAAACATTTGGGCAGTTCTTCAAAAAAGTTAAATATAGAATTACCATGTGACCTATCAATTTTACTACTAAGCATATACCCAAGAAAGTGGAAAACCTGTATTCAACAAAAAAGGAATATTCACAGCATTAGTATTCATAATAATCAACAATTAGAAACAACCCAAATGTCCATTAACTGACAGATAAACAAAATATCCATACAATAAAATATTATTCAGCCATAAAAAGAAAGGAAGTACTGATGCATGCTTCAATTTGAATGAAACTTGAAAACATTACATTATGCTGAGTAAAAAATGCCAGATGCAAAAGGCCACATATAGTATGATTCCATTTTTGTGAAATGTCCAGAATAGGCAAAGCCATAGAAACAGAAAGCAGATGAGTGGTTGCCAGGGCTGGGGGTTGGCGGGGAGGAGGGGTCAGTAAGAAGTGACTGCTTTATTTGTACAGGGTTTCTTTTTGGGGTGATAGAAATCTTCTGGCATTAGTGATGATGGTTGCATAACATTGTGAATATACTAAAAAACATTAAATTGTACACTTTAAAATAGTTAAAATGTTGAATTTTATCTCAATACAAGTTTTCTTTCCAGGAGGAATTTTTTAATACAATTTTTAAAATCTTACAATGTAAAATGCTATAAAGAGGAAAGAAGAATGAGAAAAGGCTCCTTAATTTAGCACCTAAGCGCAAACCTTCAAGTAAGTCGTTTGAGTGAGGTAGAAAGGTGAAACGCAAGGGCTGAAGGAGTCAGAGCTGGGCAGCAGAGGGACTATACTTGTGAATCACTGTCTGCATCAGAATGAAGGAGAAAAGGATCATGTCTTGTGGATGAGGATCAAGGGTGCGTGGTGGGTAGAATTACTAAGATATCATGTTTTGGATCAGCAGGAGAAATGGATCCAAGTGAGATATAATTTAAAGTGGGAAAAAATTAAAGAGCATAAAGAAATCTTGAGATGGAGACATACAATCGGTGAAGTGCAAACTAAGGTCACCTGCACAAAGCAAAAGTAGCGACAGCAGAGACCAGGTCTCATTTTTTTTTTTTTTTTTTTTGGGATGGAGTCTTGCTCTGTTGCCCAGGCATGATCTCGGCTCACTGCAACCTCTACCTGCAGGGTTCAGGTGATTCTCCTGCCTTAGCCTCCTGAGTAGCTGGGAGTACAGGCACCTGCCACCACGCCCGGCTAATTTTTGTATTTTAGTAGAGATGGGGTTTCACTATGCTGGCCAGTCTGGTCTCGAACTCCTGATCTCAGGTGATCCACCCACCTTGACCTCCCAAAGTACTGGGATCACAGGCATAAGCCACCGTGCCTGGCCCAGAGACATTTTCGAGAGTGACGAGGAAGCATGAAAATAATTCATTGATCTACAACTGGGACCATCTAGGACAAGCCAGATGCCAGGTCTCATTTTGAATAATAATGAAGTCATTTCCTTGGAGCAGTGGTGGTGGGCAGTGTGACAAGTGGTGTGTGTGTGTGTGTGTGTGTGTGTCTATTCTTAGATTTCATTTCCAACATTTAGTGACTTCACCTACCTGCCTATGAGCGTCTCGGAGGTAGGTGTCATATCCTGTGCCCTCGACATGGTAGGAGGATTTTGCGTCATCCGGTACCAGACAGAGAAAACTTAAATGAAAAAGGCCACAATTATGCAAAATGCCCAATTGCATGAAAAAAAAAGGGAAAAAAAGTAAAAGTGAGAAAGGCCATAATCAATAACAAATACTCTCACAATTCAATAATAACTATAAGTACTAAAGTATCTAGTGATATTGTAAGTTCAGTTAAGTATTAATACAAATAGAAACCTGAAAAATGAAATTATATGTTGTTAATTTCTTATGTTGAATGACTTTTACAATTCATTGATTATTCTCATTATTTTAAAGGTTTTAAAAATTACTAATTCCACTTAAAATAGAAGTAAGCCTAAGAAAGACATTTGTTTTTCCTCTTCGGATTGCTGTATAATGACAGATTGCCATAATATTTGTTAATCTCAGGGAACTGGTTTAAAGTAACTGAACCTGAGATTTTTATGTACCCTAATTTTGCAACTTGAGTCACATGCAGTTTTTCTCTAAAATCACCTGCCAGAACTAGGTATATCAGTGACAACATTGCAAGGGAAGCAAAAAAGAGGAAAAAAACTGCCACAGAAAAGGGCACTCTAAAAAAAACACAAAACCACGAACTAACAAAAAGGAATAGCCCAACACTTAGCACACATGGTTAATAAGTACATCTTATCAAACCAGCAGTTCTCAATGTTGTTACAATTGGGAATTACTTAAAATTAAACCATTTATATTTTTAAAAAATGGGATGGCCCAGCATGGTGGTTCACACCTATAATCCCAGCGCTTTGGGAGGTCAAGGCGGGTGGATCACTTGAGGTCAGGAGTTCGAGACCAGCCTGGCCAACATGGTGAAACCCCGTCCCTACAAAAAATAGAAAAATTAGCCAGGTGTGGTGGCATGCGACTGTAATCCCAGCTACTCAGAGCCTGAGGCAGGAGAATCACTTGAACCCGGGAGGCAGAGGTTGCAGTGAGCAGGGATCATGCCACTGCACTCCAGTCTGGGCAACATAGTGAGACTCTGTCTCAAAAAAAAAAAAAAAAAAAGGGTACTTTGAGGGTTCATTTAACCATGGTTAATATTAAGTAGAGCTTTTCTCTTAGTATCAAGCATTGCCCACAGGCTGGCACATAAGCAAGACCAAAAAAACTGACATAATCTTTATTTATTTATTTATTATGTTTTTCCTTTTTTTTTTTCTAAGAACAGAGCTCTTACATGTTATACAGTTTGGGAGGCCAAGGTGGGCAGATCACTTGAGGTCAGGGGTTTGAGACCAGCCCGACCAACATGGTGAGACCCCGTCTCTACTAAAAATACAAAAATTAGCTGGATGACGTGGTGGGAGCCTGTAATCCCAGCTAGTTGGGAAGCTGAGGCAGGAGAATCACTTAAACCCAGGAGGCGGAGGTTGCAGTGAGCAGAGATCGCACCACTGCACTCCAGCGTGGACAATAGAACAAGACTCCATCTCAAAATATAGTAACAATAAAAAACAAAAAACAAGTAAGAGAGATGGAAGTCAAATTTTATATAGCAACTCACCTATTTACAATTTTATGAACTTCAGTTTTTCCATCATTTTTGGGGTGGTCTGGAGTAGCAGGAGGCGAAGAACTAAGCCACTCTTGGTTTGGCAAAGTGTTTTCTGGTGAAATGTCAGTAAATAATGGATCTTCTTCCAGATCTCTAAGTTAAATTTAATGACATATGAAAAACACTATTTTATTATGACATTTTCTAAACCAAAAGATTCTCTGCTATGTTCTAAGAAAATGTTACATAATTTTGCTAATATAAAGGATTAAGGAATAATGTATATTTTCTAGGCAAATTAACATTCTATACTATTTTGTTATTAGATCTAACGAATACACAATATTACTTATAATGTAGAAGGATGGTGGTATCAATGCATCTAATTTTACTTTTAAGAACTTTAAAACTGTAAGAGGTATTTCTTTTGAGGATAAGGGAGATAGATAAGAGGAGAAAGTTCTCTCTCTATATGAAATGCTGAACTCACGGAGTTGGATGGAAACTTACACTGCTCCTGCTATCAGTCCATTTTCTACCACATCTTTATCTTCTGGGCACAAAGGTTTACATTCTGTATAATTTCTTTCTTCAAGATTTCTCAAGACCAAGTTGTAAAGAATGTGCTCATTGGGTTTTTGTAAGAGATGCTCAAACATTCGCAATGTCATTATGCTTATCTGAAACCAAAATTGATAAAAGCTAACTGAAAAATATCTTTAAATAAGTTATTCTTCTTGCCATCTTGTAAGTCATGCTTTCAATTTCTAAAGCCAATAAAAGAGGCTGTATTGAAAATATCTCAAGTATAATACATTAAAACCAGTATTCCAAAGAATCTAAGTCCAATTCTAAATCATTACATAGCTTACCTCATCAGATATGTGATCACAATGTTCAATTAACCTATGCCTTAACGGATGTCTGCTGATTTCTGCCACAGTTTCTGGTTCCCTCTGTTCTCCAAGGATAAAAAACACCATTTCTTGAAGTAAAACATCAGAGGTCACTTGCCGAACGATGCGATGAAGCAGAGCAGTGGATGTCAGAATACCCATCTCAGAACTGAGCACAACGAACAGGGAATTAATAACATGACACAGGGATGCGGTTTTTTTTTTTTTTTTTTCCCAAAAGAAAACAGGCTACTCACGTTTGCATTAATTGAGGTTCCATAACACCAATGAAAAATCTTTCATGAACAGCTTTGGCAAGAGCAACAGCAGCAGTCTAGAATATAGTAGGAACATCATTTTTTTTTAATATAAAAGAAAGAATAATTTGTAACATCAATAAATCAGTTTGCACTCCCCAACTGACTTAACGTGGAAAGACAAAACTTGCCTAATGACTCTCTTGTTGGTGGCATATAAATCTAGTTTAGATGTTGGCTACTGGGTCATTTACACTTTTTTCTAAATTTCCAAGAATAAGAGGAATAGGACAAAAAATTATTCCAATGTCCATATAGTATTAACATCTCACCAAAGAGCAGGACTGAAGGGAAGTCAGTGTTACTTTGTAAAGCACTGCACCGTAATACTTAAGGAAATATAAAAGGGCAGAACTGTAATACACACATACAAACACATACACACCTTTTTGTTTACTTATTTTACTAACCATGGTATTCTAAGACAATTAAAATGTATTTGGGGATATAAATTAGGGATTCCAATTTCACTTAGTAGATATTTATGTCTTAAAACCATCAAAAAACAACACAAAATTTCAAACCTTTTGGGCTTCTTTAATGAGCTGATCACAATAATCAAACCAGGAAAGAAATGAAATTAAGGCTCGTTTTCCTGGAAATGCTGAAGCATCTTCTTTATGACTATATGAGTCCAAGCTGTAAGACAAGGAAGAATTGCTAAGTCCAAAGTTATCCAAAAGCATGGACCCTATTCAGAATGTACGGAAAAATGAAAGCACATGAACATACTCAGATAGTGTGGTACATTCACACAGGCAATGCTGGAGGACTGTCAGAGGAAGGTTCCATAAAAGAAACCAAAGAGAAAACCTTTTAAATAAGAGCTGTAAATAATTTTCACATATTAAGCAGGAGAAGAGAGATTTAAGCAGAATGGGGCTGCAGGAGGCTAGATGTGGTGGCTCACGCCTGTAATCCCAGCACTTTAGGAGGCCGACGTGCGTGGCTCACTTGAGGTCAGGAGTTCGAGACCAGCCTGGCCAATATGATGAAACTCTCTCTCTCTACTTAAAAAAAAAAAAAAAAAATTAGCCAGGCATGGTGGCTCATGCCTGTAATCCCAGCTACTTGGGAGGCTGAGGCACAAGAATTGCTTGAACCTGAGAGGTGGAGGTTGCAGTAAGCCGAGATCGCTTCACTGCACTCCAGCCTGGGTGATGTAGTAAGACTCTGTCTCAAAAAAAAAGAGAAAAGAATGGAGCTGCAGGAGAAAAAACACTGGGATAGGTCCTCACACTCCTGCCCTAAATGTTACCAAGTAACATCAATGAAAAGATGGAGGTTCCCAGCTGCTGGGATGGAAGAAAAGCATGGTAAAGGGGGATCTACAAACAAAAATAGCGAGTGGACTACTTCTCTTCCTGCCCTAAAATGCAATACAGTCGTAATGTTAACAAGTGGGTCTGCCCTATAGATGTTGACAGAAAATAGGGTGGAAAAAACAAAGACAGGTTAAAAATACAGAGAAATACAATAAAAGGTGATTATGTCAAAACATTAGGCTGCTTATAGGTGGTGGGATTATGGGCAACTTGTTTATGCTGCTTTATACTTTTTAATAACTTACAAACATTCTGCAATAATCATATTTCCCTATGAGAATCAAGTTGGGGAGTCTAAAAGGTAGGAAGAAGAGGTGAAACAATGAGGTAGAAGAGATTCTGTACAAACAGGCCAGGAGACAGATTAGACTGCTTTAGAGGCTGTGGAAATTATTTTAAAAGGAGATTCCTTCTTTTAGGGCCTTTTTTGATAAAAATAATGAGCTAAAATTATTGTTTTTAATGTAAGCCCTTAAAAATTGACCACTATAATGGACAAAATAAAAATATCTTAACTATATAACAGCTGGATTGTTCCCACACTTATTACCACTGACTGATACATTTAATACAAGCTTTGAGAAAATATTCCCATTTAATGATCACTAGTAGTGTTCAATTTTTCAAAGATTTCTATCATTGCAAAATAGAAATGGATTTTAAAGTGTAGGTGTAAGAAGTCACCTTTATGGGAAAATACAAGTAACGGTGCTTACCCCCAGTTAATTGCTTCCACGGTTTCAATATCTAACGGATCCACTGACTGAGGTAGGGCCTTGTACAGGGAGGCAAGTCTGTCTGTCAGTAGTTCACACAAGCAAGTGCTCTGTGTAAGGCACTTTGCAGCCGCAGGCTCTGGCAAACTTACTAACAGCATCAAGCCTTCGCATGCCTTCACAGCTATTCGGCCATCCTAAAGGAAAAAAAAAAAACCAAACCCCTTCAATTCTTGAATTGTATATACATCAGGTTGTTTGAAAAAATTCAACATAAAAGGATTTAATGTTTTACAGTAAAAGAAAAATAGGCTTTTTTGTGTATTTTAAATGCACATTATTGGCCAAGGGGCACCTCACGCCTGTCATCCCAGCACTTTGGGAGGCTGAGGCGGGTGGATCAGCTGAGGTCAGGAGTTTGAGACCAGCCTGGCCAACATGGTGAAACCCCATCTCTACTAAAACTACAAAAATTAGCCAGCATGGTGGTGCATACCTGTAATCCCAGCTACTGGGGAGGCTGAGGCAGGAGAATCGCTTGAACCCAGAGGCAGAGGTTGCAGTGAGCGAAGATCGCACCACTGTACTCCAGCCTGGACAACAGAGCAAGACTCCGTCTCAAAAATAAAATAAAATAAAAATAAAAATAAATAAATAAATAAATGCACATTATTGAAATAATATTAGGAGGAAAAAAGTAAGGACCATAACTCACAGGACTTCTAGTAAGATTTAACAAAGAATTCACTAAATTGTAATCCTGGTTTGGACGAACAACTGAGGCCTCTGGCAGTGAGGTGACACTGAGGTTATCCAAGCTTGTGGACAGGTGATCCATCTGATGAGGAGGCTCATCTTCCAATTCTGTTTGCTCCATTCCAGTAGCACCAGATAATTCCTCTGGATGATGGGACTGTCCTGTATCTGTTGACAAGGAATCCTGACCTTTTAATGTATCTTCCGAAATTACACTTGGTACTCCTTTGGAAGCCAATGATTTCATCTTATTCTGAAAAGGAATATGTGTTTTACAAAAGTCACATCAAGAACTTTTAAAGCCAAAAATAATATTTTAATGGATTTTTCTGTAACATTCCACATGCCTAACCAGAGTAGCAATAAATGTTATGTATGTCACTGAAAATATTCTGACTTTTAACAAACTGTGTTTTAGAATGATTTTACCATTGCATAGGAGTTTATCACACTCCTCATACTAATTACAAAATGTTTTACACTGACCATAAGCAACGAACAGTATTAGTGATAATTTGACTACCGCTTAGAACAACTAATATTAGTGAGGAAAAATTTTCAGGAGGTTAATTGCAGTTAACTTTTTTCTCATCACTGGACTACTGTAACTACATAGCCTCCATGTTAATTCTTATAAGATCACGGGGTCGGGCGGGGGGGTTTGCAGGGAGGGAAGTACAAACTAACAAATAAAAATATTTTAAAGTTCAAAAGTTACCAGCATTAGACTGAACGTTTCCGTAAAAGCCCCCACATTCTCTCAAATATATAAGAATCTTTTCTAAGTTTTTCCTTAAACCTCTATAAGAACACAAGAAGCTGGGCACAGTGACCCATGCCTGTCATACCAGCACTTTGGGAGGCCAAGGCAGGAGGATCACTTGAGCCCAGGAATTCGAGACTAGATGGGGTAACATAGTGAGACTGTGTCTCTACTAAAAAAAATACAATAAAATAAGCTGGGTGTGGTGGCTTGTGCCTATGGTCCCAGACCTTGGGAGGCTGAGTGAGGCAGGAAGATTGCTTGAGCCTGGGAGGTTGAAGCTGTGGTGAGCTGTGATCATGCCACTGCACTCCAGCCTGGGCACAGAGCAAGACCCTGTCTCAAAAAATTTAAAAAAAAAGCGAAACCAAGAAACTACTCAGGGGACATTTTTACCAGTGTCTTTAAGATAGAAATAAGATATGCTTGAAATGCTGGTGCTCCCTTCCCCAATCCACATACCCAAACACAAAGAGAATCTTAACTGAAGCAAATTAGCAAATGATTAGCTTTAAGGCAAAAGTATCTTGCTTTCCATTTGAAAAGAAGAGCAGAAATCAAATTACACACATAGGTTAAAATTCGTCATAAACTAACTTCTTCACAGGGCCTATCATCATAGAAACATATTAAAGGCTGAATGAATTCAGGGTTCTACTTCCAAAGTTATATTATACTAATTATAAATCACTTTTATTGCTGTTAAAAGTATAGGTTAGACCAATCTTCTTGAGAAATTGAGTTCACAGAACATATATTAAAAGAAAACAACTCTATGGAACTCAATGAATACTCTAAACAATTTGCCAATTTCCAACAAAATCAATGGCATATTGGCTGGGTGTGGTGGCTCACATCCCAGCACTTTGGGGGGCTGAGGCAGGTGGATCACTTGAGGTCAGGAGTTCGAGACCAGCCTGGCCAAAAATACAAAAATTAGCTGGGCATGGTAGCGTGTGCCTGCAATCCCAGCTACCAGGGAGGCTGAGGCAGGAGAATCACTTGAATCTGGGAGGCGGAGGTTGCAGTGAGCCGAGACCATGCCACTGTACTCCAGCCTGGGTGACAAAGCAAGACTCCACCTCAAAAAACAAAACAAAACAAAACAAAACAAAAAAACCCAATGGCATATCATACTTTTTAAGAAAGTAAAACATTTCATTCCATTTAAAATACTAGTAATATTGCTGGGAGAGGTGTCTCAAATAAGAACAGCAAGAGGAAAGATGTTAGTTTAGCACTCCGTCCTTCAATCAATGTTTCTCAAAGTGAGACTCAAGACTGTTGGTATCCTGATCTTCTGTGGGGCTTGATAAAAATGCAGATTCCTGGGTCCCATCCAGACCTGATGAATGAGAATATCTGGAGGTAGAGCCAAGGAATGTGCATTTTAGAAAAATTCCCCAGGTGATGAGGAACTGTGGATTTAACACTTTGGTTCCTACTAAAACTGTTCCCCTTCTGTTTTAGGGATCTCATCAGTACCCACAACATAGCCGCACACATGGCTTCTAAATCTCTTAAACTTCCCTCCCAAATCAAAGATGTTCAATACCTGCTAATTATCTCCATTAGGAAATCACGATGACTCAAAGCATCTGGAACCAAAATTATCATCTTCCCCTCAAAATCAGCTCCTTGGGGGCCCCTGTTTTTCCACTAGCAGCAGACTTACTGGTTCAGGAATTCCAGCATTCAAATCATCCTTTCCCAGCTTCTGCATCTGAGCAGTTACAAGGCCATATAGAGCCTACCTCTATTCTGAACACACCCATTTCATTCCAACCTATTGCTTCCAACTTGGTTATAGTCCTTGTTACTTCTTGCCTGGGTAACTCCATAAGGTTCCAAATTAGTTTCCCTGCTTTTATCTCTCCTTCCAAAGAATCTGCCGTATAAAAGGCTGCTGCCAATTTAACTTAAGGCACAGATACCATCACATAATAACATCCCTGCTCAAAAATAGTTAATGGCTCCCCAGTATCTACAAGTAAGAATAAACTCTTCATCCTGTCACTCAAAGCCTTTGACAATACTTAGTCTATCTGTTCAGGTGCTTCTTGCCACACATCCTAATTATACTGTTTCCTGAACACACCACAAACTTTTATATCTTCATTCCTTATGTTCACCCACTCTAAACACCTGCCAAGGCTCATTTCTTTTCATGTATTTATTTTTTAATAGAGATGAGGTCTTGCTATGTTGCTCAGGCTGATTTGGAACTCCTGGGCTCAAGCAATCTGCTTGCCTCAGCCTCCCAAAGTGCTGGGATTACCGGTGTGAGACACCGCACCCAGCCTCAATTCAAAGATGGCCTCTTCCAGGAAGACTTTCCTGATGACCTAGAGCTGATGAATCTCTCCATTCTATAAGCACTTAGGGAATTTACTTTGTATCTTTCCTTTGATTCTCCCTTACTCTACTTTAGATTACAGTATCTGAACATTCACATCTACCGTCTTCAGCAGACTGTAAACCCCTTTAGGACAAAGACTATTTCTTTTCTTTTTTTGAGACAGAGTCTCGCTCTGTCGCCCAGGCTGGAGTGCAGTGGCGTGATCTTGGCTTACTGCTACCTCTGCCTCCCGGGTTCAAGCAATTCTCCTGTCTCAGCCTCCCAACTAGCTGGGACTACAGGCACGTGCCACCAAGCCTGACTAATTTTTTGTATTTTTAGTAGAGAAGGGGTTTCACCGTGTTAGCCAGGATGGTCTTGATTGATATCCTGACCTTGTGATCTGCCCGCCTCAGCCTACCAAAGTGCTCGGATTACAGGCATGAGCCACTGCGTCCGGCCGGCAAGGACTGCTTCTAACTCACATACCATATATATTTAACCCACAGTAGATGCAAATATTGGCTGATATTAATGAACAGAGAGAGATGACATTTCAGGGAATACATGCATGAGAACTGCAAAACACTTCTGCTCTTATCTATACTTATAACTAATAAAACTGCATTTCTGGCTGGCCACGGTGGCTAATACCTATAATCCCAGCACTTTGGGAGGCTGAGGTGGGTGGATCACCTGAGGTCGGGAGTTTGAGACTAGCCTGGCCAAGAAGGTGAAACCCTATCTTTACTAAAAATACAAAAATTAGCCGGGTGTGGTGGCACGCACCTGTAAACCCAGCTACTTGGGAGGCTGAAGCATGAGAATCACTTGAACTGGGAGGCAGAGGCTGCAGTGAGCTGAGATTGCACCACTGCACTACGGCCTAGGTGACACAGACTGTCTTAAAAACAAAGCAAAAACAAAATCAAAACCCTGCATCTCCCTAAAGATTCATTCATTTAGTGTTAACTGAGCAGTTCCTATGCATTGTGCTAGATTCTAGAGAAGCTGTGGGGACCCAAGATTAATGAGACAGAATCCTTGTCCTCAAGGAGCATACTGACTAGCAGGAGAAAATAAAATGCACTTAAATAACCAGTGCTAGGGGACTGTGGTAACTGACATTAAACACATACGAATAGTCCTATTCGTTAAAAAAATGTAGATACCTACCACCTCTGGCTTTGGAGAAATACGTTATAAAAACACTAAACAAAGCAGACGTGTCACTAAATCTGAGAGGTGTTCTCTGTAGTGAGGTTTAGAAATGTGAATGTTTTTCTGAAGACAGGTACATACAGTGTACCTCACCATAAACATACATAAGCCTACATATTTCATCTGCTTCTGGTCTATGCTACGCACTTAGAAAACACGTTTCAGAAATTTTTGAGAAAGAAATTCTCCAGGCTTGTTTGGGGAAAAAAACACTTGCATTCCAAGTACACTAAGGTTACCTAAGAAAACTTTAGCAAAAATGAACTTTGAGAAGAAAAATCTCAGTTAGCAAAACTGAGATATTCCTCATAGTATACAAAAAACTAAAAAAAACTCTAATACCATTATAAATCTTTAGAAATCCAAAATCATTAGACTGTTCTAGCCATTTTGAAGCAAATTTGCAAAAGATGACACAAAATATAACGCATATGATGAAAAACATACGATGCGCGTGATTAGTGTTAAGGGCATGCATAGTCCTTAACACTACCTAGAAATTTAAATTCATGGAATTTTACAGCTTAGCTGCTTACCTAACTCCAGTTAAGAGTCCAGAATAGAATCCTAAATTACTTAGTAATGTAAAATAGAAAACAAACCCATATATTGGAGTGGCTAACATTTAAAAATAACAAAACAAGAAAGACCTGACAACATCCAGAGCTGATGACAACATGGAACAACAGAAGCTCACATACGCTGCTGATGGGATGCAAAATGACAAAGCCACTTGCAAAACAGTTTGGCAGTTTCGCATGAAAATAAATATACACTTACCATATGATCCAGTGATCCTACCCTAGGTATTTATCCAAGTGACATGAAAACCTAAATCCACGCAAAAATCTGCGTGTGATGTTCTTAGTGGTTTTATTCACAACTGTAAAAAACTAGAAACAACCCAAAAGTCCCTCACTGGTGTATGCGTAAACAACTGTGGTACATCCGTACAATGGTATACTACTCAACAACATAAAGGAACAAAATCATGGATGAATCTCAAATGCAATAAGCTAACTTTAAAAAGCCAGAATCAAAAGGCTAATTACATGGCTATGACTTTTTGGGAAAGAGAAAACTACTGGGATGGAAAATAGACCAGTGACTGCTAGGGCGTAGGGGTGGAAGAGGGATGACTACAAAGGATCATGGGTAGTGTGACAGAACTGCTGCACATCTTGATTGTGGTAGTGGTCACACAACCGTGTTCATCAAGTTCACAGCAAGTAGACCGAAAAAAGTGAATTCTATTATATGTAACATATCTTAATCCAAAAAAAGGAAAAGAAAGAAAAATTTATTTATATATTTTTTATTTAGTTGAGACAGAGTCTCACACTGTTGCCCAGGCTGGAGTGCAGTGTTGCAATCTGGATTTACTGCAACCTCCACCTCCCAGGTTCAACTGATTTTCCTGCCTCAGCCTCTCAAATAACTGAGATTCCAGGCATGCACTACCACGCCCGGCTAAGGTTTGTATTTTTAGTAGAGATGGTATTTCACCATGTTGGTCAGGCTGATCTCGAACTCCTGACCTCAACTGATCCACGTGCCCCAGCTTCCCAAAATGCTGGGATTACAGGTGTGAGCCGCCACACCTGGCCAGAAAAATATTTTTTAAAAAACTGAAAAGAAGGCCAGGTGTGGTGGCTCATGCCTATAATACCAGCACTTTAGGGGGCCGAGGAAGGAGGATCGCTTGAGCTCGGGAGTTCTGGACCAGCCTGGACAACACAGGGAGACCCTGTCTCTACAAAAAAATTTTTAAAAATTAGCCAGGTGTGGTGGTGCGCACCCGTAGTCCCAGCTACTTGGCAGGCTGAGGTGGGAGGATCACTTGAACCAGTAAGGTTAAGGCTGCAGTGAGCCACGGTCACACCCCCACATCCAGCCTGGGTTACAAAACAAGACTCTGCCTCAAAAAAAAAAAAAAAAAATTACAAACAAAAAGGTAAAAAGACAAAAACAACATAATCATTTTTTCTAAAATATTCCAAAATGACTTCACTGCTGAAAAAAAAAAGTGAATGAAAGCAAAAAGTACAAAAACATATTTTTTATGAGGCCAGCATCATCCTGAAACCAAAACCTGGCAGAGATACCAAAAAAAAATGCCTCAAAAAAAAAAAAAAAAAAATTACAAACAAAAAGGTAAAAAGACAAAAACAACATAATCATTTTTTCTAAAATATTCCAAAATGACTTCACTGCTGAAAAAAAAAAGTGAATGAAAGCAAAAAGTACAAAAACATATTTTTTACTTTAAATCTGGAAGTGAAATCCAAAATATCACTTAATTTAAATAAACTATGATTTGGTGATTATGGCTATCAAAACAGTACGAAATACTACAGCAATCCCAACTGCTATGAGGTTGGAGAGATAACTCGTGCTTTTTTCCATCTCGTCCAAATCTGCACATGCCATCCTTATCCCAGGCCAGATTTCCCATGCTACATACTAGGGCAAGCTTGGCTGAAAATATGATAGCATATCAACTTCTGCAACTTGTCTATCTTTGATTCAATCTTCAAGTTGACCTCTTTTAAGCCATGACTTTGTATCTGTCCAGTCCCTGCACCACCTTGTATCTCTGGCTCAACTGCATTCTTTGAAATTCTTTTTTTCCCAGGAGAATAAAATAGTGATCTTAAAGGAAAAATAATTCTGGGAAGTAAAACAAGCTAATAATCCGCAAAATAGAGCTCCTTCTAATATTATTCATAGAATTCAATTTTCATAATGATCTTAATGTAACTATAGTTTGAAGGTTGATAAGAAGTGTATCATACCTCTAGGAAAAAGTTAACCAGGTAGGGGTCCTGTTTCAGCTTCGCACACACAATGCAAAGAAACTGAATCTCTTCATTTTCTGTTGGTGTTGCTAGGACTTCACCACAGAGTCTAATTAATTTCTGTGAAAACAATTGTTTTTAACTTTTTAAACTTAGGTTACTTTTTACAAATTTGTAAAATAATCATTCATTTACCTTAAGGATATTTAAAATTTTCATATGATGCAAATACCCTGCATTAATCAGAACACTAATGATATTTATAATTATCTATATAAAAATAAACTTATTAGTGGTAAATTTTTTAAGTTCATTACTGTAAATAATTAACGAGTTATATAATAAATTCTCCTTTAGATGTCACGGAAGTAAAATCCAAGGGAAATTCATGTATAAAATTTTAAAAGAGAATTAGAAAGACTGTAAGTACACTTAATGTGATGCATAAAGAAAGCTCAAGTATTTGCTAATTTGCATGTTAATTTTGGAATAATTTCATTATTTTTACTCTCAGAAAAATAATATAAAATTATTTCAACATTAAAAGAAATCAAACCAAATAATTTTATGTAAGGGGAACAACATACCTGCACCGGCCTGTGCACGTTAATGTGTGGAAGTAGTGGCTGCCGGATTCTTCCCAGAAGTTTCGTATAGAAAATCAAAACCTGCTGTTTCATTCCCGGAGGACACTGGGTAGAGGAAAAAAGGAAAGCCAACAGGAAAAGATCAGACAATGCAAACTGAAAAGCTGCAAAAATCAGAGAGGCAGTGTATATGAATGTAGTCCACCTTGAAAAGATAATGCAACTGGCCAGTTAATAACTGTCAGAATAAAATTTTCAATCAAATATTAATGATGGGTATTCCAGAAATAATATTATATATCTGAGACCATAATATAGCATGTGAGACCATAGGCTCATGTAGTTACAAACAGCATGGTGATAATCTGTTGTTGAGATTAGAGTTTGGTGCAGTCAATGTCAACCTGTTTATATTCTAAATGCTGGGGTAACACGAAACTGTAATAGTTAACTCCCTGCCGGAACAAAGGCAAAATCTTGTTACTTAGACTAATGACAGACAGGTCATCAACAACTTTCCATCATATATATGTAGTAGTAAATAAAGCCTCCTAACACACATGTAAATAAAAGGAAACCTGTGGTGTAAACGGTTGTGATTTTATCCTAACATCATTTTAAATTAGAGCCGTTCCTCAGTATACACGGTTATATCCAAATCTGCACTTACTCAGTTCCAATAGTCAGCCCCGTGGAACCCACATATGTGAAAATTCAGCCCTCTGCATAGGCAGGTTTTGCATCCTGGAAATACTGTATTTTCCATCCATGTTTGGTTGAAAAAAAATCTGCCTATATGTGGACCTACAAGTTCAAACCCATGTTGTTCAAGGGTCAATTGTAAGTATTCTTTGCCTATTATAATCATAATATAAATCAACCAAATTATTTACATTATAATAGGCAAAGAATGTTTAATAAATTAGTTTTTATAACATGCCAGTTGTTTTAAGTATTTGCTGAAAAATAGGTAAACCCAATGATCACTCACACTGCAGATTAAGAGAGTATGAATTAACAAGCTTATGTTCCTTAATTAAGCTGCTTATACTGCTTCACATTTCAAATACAGTTACAAAATGAGTATTTCCAAAGCATCATCATAGACATGCTATCTGGAAATAGTATAAACTATAATCTCATGCACAATATTTTTAAGCAAGCAAATACTTTACATTATTTAGATAAACCACTAAATTATATTTACAACCACCTGTATTAAAATAAATTTACTAAAGTACAATTACTAACTTTTGCTCAAAAATCAGTTAATCAATTTATTATTAACAATCCTTCTCTCCAAAGGACAGGAAAAAGAAGAAGGAGAATGAGTTCCAGAATATTAGGCAGCAGGTGTGTTGCCTAGAAAACATAAATTGAGTGAATTTAACTTAAAAGTAAATTAGAGTATTACAGACATAAGGAAATTGTCTTGTGTGCTACTATTCATAACTCTCTTTGTCATGAAAGTGTGTCTGTAGGTTTCTTTTGTTTTAACCTAATTTTTTTTCACATATATCATAGAAATTCACAGAACGATAGACTTTTAGGGCTGGGGAGGCCCCTCAACAATCACTTTTTGGATTTTAAAGAGGAGGAAGATTAACCAAAGAGACTTATGATGGTCACAGTGTGTGAATAATGAAGTCAGGACCGAAAGCCTGGCCTCCTAATCTGAACTCAAGGCTCTTCCGTTCCCTCACTCGGCCACACGGCTGGAAAACTTGTCTCTATAACTAATTTGAAGGCTTTGCGATATAAAATATTATTGATATCATAATTTCAGCTTTGTAAAGATTTTTCAATATTCATCAGACCTAAAAAATATAAATTGGCTCCACTCAACAGTTTAGTTAGTGTCAAAATAATCAGTGACATTCTCTTCCAGGACTATGACAAATAATTCCTATTTTTTCAATCCTATTTTAACTGACTTCCTTCTCTCTTTTTTTATTCTGAGCTCATGTACTTGAGTTTATTTTCATAAATGTTTATATTGGAATTCTAAGCAGCCAAGTACTAGTTGTTGTCTAGAGTGTTTGGAATCTTTCTATCTCTATGGACATATGTGTATAGGCTACATAATTTTCTTTTTTCCACAATCTTAACTTGAATCTTGCCATGTTCAATACGCACCTTTTAAATCAAGTATTTGGCAGTTTCTTTATTCATAAGACATTAAGGCATGTACTACACGCCCAAAAACATGGTGCGGATTAGGAACTTACATCAGCTTTCCCCAAGGTGTATAATGTTTCCAAGATTTTGTGATGGAGCAAATATTCCATACATGGCCCCGTCTCTCCAGATTCCCGTTCATTTTCTTCTTGAACCAGTATATCTAACATCTGTTCCAGATGCGATGGAATATTTGTATCGGTCACTGGGGCTTTATCATCTAAACAACAAAAAACACTCATCAAATATTTAAACATTTTTAAACTGCGTATTTGCACCTAAAATACTCTCTGTCTTTCCCTTTTCCTATTCAAACTGAGAAAAACCTGAACTACACACTTAAGTGAGGTTTATAAACATAGTATGATTATCTCTGCTAGAATTTAGATGATGCATTTTGTCATATTCTTACCCCAAAACTGAATCAATATTCTGAAATATGGCCAGGCACGGTGGTTCACGCCTGTAATTCTAGCACTTTGGGAGGCCGAGGCAGGTAGATCACCTGAGGTCAGGAATCCAAGACCAGCCTGGCCAACACAGTGAAACCTTGTCTCTACTAAAAACACAAAAAATTTAGCCAGGCGTGGTGGCGGGCACCTGTGATTCCGGCTACTCAGGAGGCTGAGGCAGGAGAATCGCTTGAACCAGGGAGGTGGAGGTTGCAGTGAGCAGAGATCGTACAATTGCACTCCAGCCTGGGTGATAGAGTGAGACTCCATCTCAAAAAAAAAAAAAAAAAAAAAAAATCTGAAATATATTCCGTAAGCTAACATTCATCTATCCATAGTAATTCAGAAATAAGAGTTATTTATATGGGAAAATGGGAACATGACCAGGAAAAATACACGTCATATCAAAATGTTCTATGTGTACTTGTAATTAAAATATTTTTTTCACTTAGCCAGTTCAGAAGATCTGAACTTTAAGTTTCTTTAAATAGAAATAGGTTGGCCTTGAACATTAAGGCAAATAACCTGGGATATATGAAGAAGACGGATTCTGTTTTGTATTGCTACTACATTACTTTGTAGGATTGGGAAGCCTGTCAATGCCCCTAATTCATTTTCTTCTGTTACAATGAGAAGGCAAAAGGAAAACCCACTATTAAAATTATTGACATCTCTCATTAACAGATGACTGTTTTCCAAAATCTGTTTTTCAAAGTTGCTTCTCTGGAGAATTTTTATTAAATATTACTGATTTCTTATAAAAAAATAAAAATTTAGTGCTATTTTTTAACATATCACAGTTAGACTCAAACATCACATGGTTTTATCAACCTATCCTTACTATACTAAGGTTAAACTACTCTTAAAAATGTGAAGTTTTATAGAACATTTAAATACAAAATACATTAGGAAATGCCAAATTCTTTACTTATGTCTCTATTTTCATCTACTTTGTACTTCTATAGTTTGAACACCACAATTCTGGTATGCTATGTACTGATATGTTGCTTTGTCTGTATACTAGCACAGAGAGAAAACCATAGCTAAGCCTTATGGAGAAAACAATGGATAGAGAAGGGTCACCTTTGTTTTCAGGAGGACATATGTATCAAGTTTGATATGGTAGGGGACAGTTGTTAGAAGAATGGGTACTGGAGTTAGAAAACTTGGATTCAAATCTTGGCTCTGTCACTTTCAGGTGGATGAACTGGTGCAACTTATGTAAGCATCAGTCACCAACACCTATAAAATGGAACTAATAAACACTAGTGACTACTATTATATGATTTCAATGAAATAATAAAGCCCAGTCCTTAGCACAGAGTAAGAATTCAAGAAATGTTACGTCTCATTTCATATTCTAAAATGAGTAGCCTAGCGCTAGTAAAGGATGATTTATAAGTTTACTTATAATTTATTTTTCAAAAATGTGTTTTCCCCATAATTGTAGCCTTTATATACACAAACACTCCAGGAAAGAATGAATGTTCAAGCACGGTTTAATTACAATTACTTATGGCAAAAAAATGACCAAAAATACTTTTTAAATTGAGAACTAAATTAATTGTAAATTGAACTTGACAGGATTAAAATCTTAGCTCCCTATAAGACAAGATCTAGTTTCAGCCGCCGATTCTCATCATTCCTGAACTATAAATGGCATTGTGCCTTTGCATATGCTTTTTTCCACCTGAAATGTTATTTGTTCCATATTTTATTGCAATGTACATACTTATTTCTGCTACTAGATTGCAAAAAATCTTTTAAAGCAAGAACTTATGCATTTTCTCAAAGCCATGGAAGCAGGAAAAAAATTATAAGGGCTAAGAGCAGTCCTTTGAAAAGGCAGCTCCTCTCAAGAAACATTTCTGTAGATCTGCTGGCTAAACATCTAAATGAAGTTAGAAATTACATATGTATATTTTTTTGTCTGATTTTTACTTACTGCACAAATATAAAGGATTTTTTTTCTTTTACCAAATCACGTATAATCCTGTCAGCTTGCCAAATGAACTATTCTCATTTTCTCATGTTTCCTTTTAGTTAAATGACATGCACCCAATCTGCATATCCACCAGTGTTTACCTGTATACTCCTCAGGGGATCCTGTAGTGCTAGGTAGCAATGTCCCTATTTCATTCTGTCGCCAAATTTTGGTCTATGGGCCAAATCCAGCCCTGCCATCAGTTTTTGTACATAAAGGTGCACTGGAACAAAGGAAAGCTCCTTCTTTTTTTTTTTTTCTTTTGAGACAGTCTCACTCTGTCATCAAGCTGGAGTGCAGTGACGTGATCTCGGCTCACTGCAGCCTCCACCTCCTGGGTTCAAGCGATTCTCCTGCCTCAGCCTCCCGAGTAGCTGGGACTACAGGTGCATGCCACCACGCCTAGCTAATTTTTGTATTTTTAGTAGATATGGGGTTTCACCATGTTGGCCAGGATGGTCTCGATCTCCTGACCTCGTGATCCGCTTGCCTCGGCCTCTCAAAGTGCTGGGATTACAGGTGTGAGCCACCGTGCCTGGCCCGAAGGCTCATTCTTTAACAGCAGAGCTTAAGAACTGCAACAGAGACTGTATGGCCCACAAAGCCTATCTGGCCTTTTATGGAATAGTTTGGCAACCCTTGACCTAATCTATTCTCATTCCCCATATTCACTGTCCATCCTTCCTATTTACTGAGAACATCCTTTCTATTTTCATCCTTCCTAATTACTTCCTATTACTTGCATCTAAAACAGATGCAACCAGAAGATAACTTCCAAAGACTCTGTACACCATATCTACCTGTTTCCTGCATTTATACCCTTGTTCTGCTTTCTACCTTATTTTGATGGATGAACTGTACTCACGCCTATTTAACGCCAAGCGTCTACTTTTACCCAAGATCCCTTCCTCCCTTGCCTACTTAAGGATATTGCACAGAAATGATCTCATCTGGCTGGATATGGTGGCTCATGCCTGCAATCCCAGTACTCTGGGAGGCCAAGGCAGGTGTATCACCTGAGGTCAGGAGTTTGAGACCAGTCTGGCCAACATGGCGAAACCCTGTCTCTATATAAAAATACAAAAATTAGCCAGGTGTGGTGGTGGGCACCTGTAATCCCAGCTCTTGGGAGGCTGAGTCACAAGAATCGCTTGAACCTGGGAAGTGGAGGTTGTTGTGAGGCAAGATGGAGCCAGAGTAAGTCTGTCTCAAAAAACAAAACAAAACAAAAAACAAAAACAAACAAAAAAACAAAAAAAAAAGAAAAGAAAAAGAAATGCTCTCATCTTACTCTTGTATCTACCCTTTTCTCTACTAGATTGCTCCCATCAAATAAAACTGCAATATCTTATGTCTTTTTAAAGAATTTAAAAACCCTTTCCTGCTGCCGTATCTCCTTCTCAGCCCCGTTTACACTAATATGCCCCATGAGAGCAGTCTACACACATTGTCTATACATCTTTTCCACCCATTTTCTCTTTTTTTTGAGCCAGTCTTCCTCTGTCACCCAGGCTAAAGTGCAGTGGTGCCATCTCCACTCACTGCAACCTCCACCTCCTGGGTTCAAGCAATTCTCCTGCCTCAGCCTCCCGAGTAGCTGGGATTACAGGTGTGCACCACCATGCCTGGCTAATTTTTGTATTTTTTTGTAGAGTCGGGGTTTTACCATCTTGGCCAGGCTGGTCTTGAACTCTTGGCCTCAAGCAATCCGCCCATCTCGGCCTCCCAAAGTGTTGTGATTACAGGCGTGAGCCATCGCCCCAGCCAGTTCCACCCATTTTCTCTTAAACCTACTCCAATCAGGCCTTCTCTCTCCTCCCTGCCATTAAAGTGGCTCTTATCAAGAAAACTAATGTGCTTCTTGTAGCTAAATCCAATGATCCATTCTTAGTCTTCATTAACCCGACATCAGCATCATTTGACACAATGAATCCTTCCTTCCTCTTCTAGGCTGCTGAGGACACCATTTGCTATTGGCTGTCTTCTTCCTTACCGGCAAAAGCAGCTTCCTTCACTACTGTTCTCATCTTCCCAACCTCTAAACACTGGGTCCAAGAGTTCAGTTTTGGACGCCTTCTCTCCTCCATCTATCTTTCCTCCCTAGATAATCTCATCCAGTCACAGGGCTTGAAGTTCTACTTACATGTTAATAACTCTCAATTTCATGTCTTAAGTCCAGATTCCTGTTGCCAGTTGTCTACCTGACGTATCCAAGCAGACGTATGATGGGTATCTCACACTCAACACATACAAAATGTGCTCACAAACCTGCTCCTCCTGCAGTCTCCCTGTTCTCAGTAAGTGGCACTCTACTTTTCTAGCTTCTTAAGTCCAAAACTTTGGAGTTATCTTTGACTCTTATTCCCTTATCCCCAATATCCAATCCATCAACAAATCTTCCTTTAAAATGTATCCAGAATGCAATCTCCTTAGCACCTCCACCCTGGGCTAAGCCATTATTGTCTCTCGTTGAGACTGCTGTGACAGTACCCTGTTTTACCAGCTTCATCCCTGAATCCTGTCAATCTAAGTTTTTTCACAGAAGTCAAGGTAATCAAACAGATTACATTTCAGCTCTACTCAAAACCCTCCAAGAGTTCTCACAGTAAAAGTCAAACCCTTACAGTGGCTCACAAGGCCCTGGGGGAATATGCGACAAGCCTCCAAACCCCCACCTCTGTCTTCTTTCATCTCCTGCCACTTTCCTCCTTCAGTTTGCTCTATCCACACCGGCTTCCTTAAAGTTCCTGGGATATGCCAAGTATGCCATATGCTCTGGCCTGAGGGTTTGTGAATTAGGTGTCATTCCGGAGACACCCTTCCCCCAGATACCTAGCAGGCTCAGTTCCTTTCTCCTTTAGATTTCAGCTCACAAGTCATATTGGGCAATGAGGCTTTCTCTAACCTAAAATAGCCAACTGTCCACTCCCACCACCCAAACGTACCCCTATAACCCTTTAGCCTCCTTCATTTGCCCTTGACGCTTATCATCTGACACACTATATGTATTTGTCTATATACTGTCTGCCTCTTCCCAATCAATACATAAGCTCTGTGAGGACAGCAGTGTTGCCTGTTTGACTGTTCTATCCCTCAGTGCCTCAACGATGCCTGACACATAGTAGTAGGTGCTCAACAGATACATTTTTAAATGAGTGACTGAATCTTAAAGACAAATTAAAGATAAGACTGTCTATAAACTTAGATATAAAATAAATTTGAAGACTTATTTAAAAATATTTTAATATTTTACAAATTTTCTGTTTAACTTTCACAAATTTTCAGTTAATATCAGCATTGTTCCTTACCTGAAGTCTCTATGTAGTAATGGGTAATTGCCTTCCAGTGATAAACAAAATCTTCTTGTAAAGGAAGAGAAGGTGCAAGCTACGCAAACAAAAGACCACAACAATTAAGAAAACGGCATTGAAACTTTCCCAGAACTTACGACTCTATATTTATGTATTATGATGCAATGGTAGCATAAAAATAAGGGGTGAACTTTGTTTTTATATGTCAGATATCAAACAGAAACAAAATAAGTCGAATCCAAGAAAGTAAAAATGAGTTATCAAGAAAGAGGAAAAACATAATTATCAACATTATTATTAAACTACAGTATTGGGCTTTTTTTTACCCTCCCCTGACACTTGTTTAAAAGTAGGTTTCAGGATGGGGGCAGTGGCTCACACCTGTAATCCCAAAACTCTGGGAGGCCGAGGTAGGTGAATCACTTGAGGTCAGGAGTTCAAGGCCAGGCTGGCAACATGGTGAAACCCTGTCTCTACTAAAAATACAACAATTAGCCAGGCGTGGTGCCATGCATCTGTAGTCCCAGCTACTGGGAAGGCTGAGACAGGAGAATCCCCTGAACCTGGGAGGTGGAGTGGAGGTTGCAATGAGCCAAGATTGCGCCACTGCATTCCAGCCTGGGTGACAGAACAAGACTCCACCTCAAAAAAAAAGGAGGTTTCAAAGGTATGTTAAATGAAAAATTAAATGAAAATGCCCAATATTCTAATACTGACATATCAGTAAAACGAAATTACTAATAGCCAGGAATCTTTGTACCTAGGACTTTGAAATGCACAACAGTAAAGAGCGGCTACGTAATTAGTTACACATCATCACTACTAAAACATGTACCAAAGTCAACTTCGTAATCAGATTAAAACTGTACCCTACATTCAGTGACATACAGATGTAAATCTTTTCTTTTTTAAGCTTGGAATAGGCAGTGCATATTTTTAGCAAAATAACTACATGAACAAGATACTAACAATTTAAATTCCACAAAGTCAAAAATGCTCAACATTTTAGCTCTAAAACTTACTTCAGAAGTTTTATGACCAAAATTATATCCCCTCAGTCATCTCATAGCAAACCTACAAGTATTTCAAATGTGCGTTAAATGGATAGAAAAAGATTTGCATACACTTTCTACATTTCTTTTCCTTAAAGAGTGAAAGAGAGTGAGAGCTCCCCTAGTCCTAATGTTGTCAGAGGCCTTTGAACCAGAGCGACTCCATCTTGAACAGGAGCTGGGTAAAATGAGGCTAAAACCTGCTGGGCTGCATTCCCAGGAGGTCAGGCATTCTTAGTCACAGGATGAGATTGGAGGTCACAGGTCCAACATCACAAGATACAGGTCATAAAGACCCTGCTGATAAACAGCATTCGGTAAAGAAGCTGGCCAAAACTCACCAAAACCAAGATAGTCACAAAAGTGACCTCCAGTTGTCCTTACTGCTCATTACACACTAATTGTAATGCATTAGCATGCTAAGAGCCACCCCCAATAGTGCCATGACAGCCTTCAAATGCCATGGCAATGTCTGAAAGATACCCTATATAGTTGAAAAAGGGGAGGAAGGCTCAAGGCTGAGAATGGCTCACCCTTTTCCCCAGAAAATTTATGAATCATCCATCTCTTGTTTAGCATATGATCAATAAATAACTAGAAAAATAGCCAACTAGTAGCTCTTGGGGCTGCTCTGCCTACGGAGTTTTGTTTCTTTTGTTTCTTTACTTCTCCAGAGTCCATTTTCATAGCCTTCACCTAAACAGATGACCTAAAAGCGGTCATGTTATTCTTGCACTTCTACTGGTACCATTTTGTTTTCTTGGTGTCCTCAGCATCCACCTCAGAGCTGGCAACCCTGTCGAAACAATTTCCGAACTATTGTCCAAATTATAAATATTGGTCATAAACATCTTAAGTGTTTCAATCAAGAAGATGAAATGTATTTATGGAATAAAATAGACCTGAAAATATTTCAACAATCATCAATATCGTCCACTGTAAATAGTACTGTGTTAAGAGAATAAAATATTCACCTTATTTTCAAAAAATAAAAAATAAAAAAGACTGCAAGAATGGAGTTAAAATCTTTGGGAGTACTTTAACTTCAAGGAGAACATGGTGAGAAGAAAAACTTATGGGAGATGGAGGGAAAAAATGAGGAAGAAAATTAAGAATCAAAGTATCAACTTGGGAAAACAGTATCATCTTCCTGAAATTTTTAGATTAAAAAAAGTTTTAATCAGCCACTTTAGAATGTTCTCAAAATACATAAAACCTCTTCCTAATTTGTTTTGGACCTGACTTCTATAGACTACCTTTATATAGTTAAGTGCATTCACAAGTGGGACAAACCCAAACGAAATTTGTTGTTTCAGGAACTGTACCTAGTTTCTTAAGTGTCAATGTTACGATTTGTTAAATTTTTCCAAGGCAACCTCCTGGCCATATGAGGAGTTACAATATCCTTTTTCCAGATTATTTCAGGAGTGGGAATTAACTGTATTTCAAGAGAATTGAAACTGTATTCTCTGTCACTAGGCAGAGATGTCTTACTGTGTTTGTGTCAGGACCTTTGTTGTAGGTTACAGTCAAATTCAAAGCAGGATGGTGTTACTTTGTGAATACCTCCCTCCAGGAGTTAGATTTAAATAAGAAACCTATTTAACTAGAGAGCTAAACAGTTCTAAATTGCTAATAACTTAGATTAGTAACAATCTTGTTCAAACATGAATAAATTTCCTTATTTATGTAAAACTTTCTAGTAAACTTGCCACTTTCATTACTAATTCTAACGTGCAAATCACCTGTTTTATTATTGCATAAAAATATTGATGCTGTGAGTTAAAAAAAAAAAAGATGTGTGAATCAGTACCAAGAGATTCCAATTTTTTTACAACACAGATAATTAAATTTTTAAAAATTCATGCATTGACCATCGCAACCCCAAATTGACATGAAACCCTTAACCAGACTTTGCTTTCTCTGCAAAGCCTGGCCAGGCTCTTCCTGCTTAGGATGGAATCCCTATATATGCCTTGATACTCTTTACCAGATGGCTTGCTCTCTTTCATCCCATATCACACTTTTGTCATTGTTTAATTATCCATCTCTTCCACTAGATTGTCAGCTCTATGAGGGCTGGGACTGTATCATCTTTTTCATCACTCAATCTCTGGTTTCCAACTCAGGCATGACACAGAGTTAAGAATTTGATAATATATATTAAGTGAATACATAAATAACACAGAAGTCACTGCCTTTTAATGAGTAGTGATGTGCCAGGTATAATACTGCAAATTTTGCACATACCGTATGGTCTTAAACTCTCATGATAAACCTATTTTGCTCAAACTCTGAAGACTCAAAATCAGTTAACTGACTTAACCAAGGAAATACTGCCTTTAACTGGGAGCCTGGACTGTGTCCAAATACACCCATCACACAAAACTATCTAGATGGATAATTCAAATGAAAACTAGTGTTCTAAAAGTCACCTCTGCTTTTACTGTGTCTCATGTATCATCAACATTCCACTCCCAGATTTTATTTTATTTTTGAGATGGAGTTTCGCTCTTATTGCCCTGGCTGGAGTGCAATGGCATGATCTCGGCTCACTGCAACCTCTGCCTCCTGGATTCAAGCGATTCTCCTGTCTCTGCCTCCCGAGTAGCTGGGATTACAGGTGCATGCTACCACGTCTGGCTAATTTTTGTATTTTTAGTAAAGTTGGGGTTTCATCATATTGGTCAGGCTGGTCTCGAACTCCTGACCTCAGGTGATCTGCCTCCCAAAGTGCTGGCATTACAGGCATGAGCCACCATGGCTGACCCCTCTCCCAGATTTTTTAAATGCTTCTTTCTGCCCCCAACTTTCCTAATGACCTTCCCCATCTTCTCTCCCACTCCAAAGTCTTGCTCACTTCCTCCCAGAGAGTCTTTTATAACAACTCCGATCCTAAATGCTTGCTCCCTTCTCCTACAGAGTTCACCGGCTAAACCAATCATCCAAATGACAATAATGGTTTGACTTTTACTGAGCACTTCCTATGTGCCAGGCACTGCACTAAGCACTTCATGAACATTATCTCATTTTAATCTTCACAACAATTCTATGATAGGTTTAATTATTTCCCTTTATAATGAAGAAATGGAAATGTATACATATCAACTAACTTGTCCAAGTACAGAAGGAAGGGATAGAGGCAGGAATGGAACCTGATTCTTTCTGGCTCTATGAGTTAGAACATATTCTTAGGCATTCCTTATTCTATAATCTAACTTGTATATTTGTTTTGTTTTCCAAATGAGACTGTAAGCATTGTGACCCAGGACACAAGTACACCAAGTACATCTTGTTTCCCTCACTTTGAGCCATGCTTTCCTGGTGACTCAGAAGACATGTGCTGAATGAGTGAAGGACTGAAGCTAGAGATCACTTGTTGGAAAAGAATATGCCAAGAAAACATGAGATATATTTGATTTGTGGTTTGAATTTCCAGGGCACAGGAGATTTTTAAGGAATTGCTAGTCTCAACAATCATCATGAACTCTTAACTATAATTTGGAAAGAAAACATTGCACTTACATTCTGAAAGACGACTTCCATTAAAGGAATTAGCTAAAATGATAAAACTCTTCCCTGACACTGTCCTTTATCCTCTCTGGAATAAATCTGCCCACAAGGGTGGAACTGGTTGGAATTTAAGAGGAACATGCCCTTGGCACATTCCCTAGTGAGGACTAGGCTCTCAACAAATGCCAAATTGTATTAAATGGAAAGTGTTTTATCTATCTTTTGAAGAAAGATAAAAAGTGTTAAAACAATCCAATCTAACCCTGGAACTAACTACAAGAAAGGCCTGAATTCAGACTTGTGACATGTGGCAACTGGCTAACAGGACAGATTAATTTCATAAGACTCTTACTGGCCAATCATTTCTATACTGAGAGAAGACTGTCATTTCTAAAAAGGGACGCAAGAGTTACATTACAGTTCTTGTTTTTGATCAAGAAGGTGTGAACTTCTCTTCCATACTCAAAATGCAATCTATCAGCTTAATAACACATTTTCAAATATTAATTTTGGAAAATATCTTAGTCATAGTTTTCACCTTGTAAGTAGCTACCAGGGAGTGAGGAGAAACCATTAATTAAACAATAAGAAAAACACTGTGTTTAAGCCTCACTTAAATGAATATGATAAATGATAATGATAAATGAATATGAAAATGATAAATGATAAATGAATCCAGTCAACGCTAAAAAAAACTCTTTGGGCCAGGTATGATAGCTCCATCCTTATAATCCTGGCACTTTAGGAGATGGAGGTGGGAGGCTCACTCAAGCCCAAAAATGTGAGACCAACCTGGGCACAGTATCTACATTGTGAGACCCAGTGTCTACAAAAAATTTTTTTAAAAATTGAGTGTGGTCGTGCTGGCCTGTAGTCCCAGCTACTCAGGAGACTGAGACAGGAGAATTGTTAGAGCCCTGGAGGTCGAGGCTGCAGTGAGCCATGATCAGGCCACTGCACTCTAGCCTGGGTGACAGAGACCCTGTCTTGAAAAATAAGTAAATAGTTAATTCAAAATTAAAAACCCATTTGAAGGCTCACCAATTGAATAAGGAAACCTGGAAAGTAATCATACCAAAATGGTTGGAAAAGCATTACTCCACAGACTGATCCAACAAAATAATGAAAAAAGGTCACGTCAGCATCCAGGTATTTTCTGTCTCTGTATAATCCTGATAATTATGCTAATTGGAATAATGCATCAGGAAATGCTAATTGGTCATACAAATGAACAGGAACACACAGAAGACTAATGAAATGAACTGAGGAATGGTAAGATTGCTTCATAGAGGAAAATATCAAGTAAATTAATAAACAGAACTGAATAACTAGAAACTAATCTTGGGCTACAAAAAAAAATTATCCAAATACCACAAGGATGGCTTTTTCATCATTGCATATGAGTTCATTCCCAAGAGAGAATGTTAAAAGGGGGGAAAAAAAGGTTAGTATAGGACACCAAACATTTTCCATGAGATTTAACCTCCTATCAAGATAAGATGGGTGGTGCCACAAATGAAAACATTAGGTCTAAGGAAATGAAAACATTACATTTCTAAATGTAATGCATTAATTTCAGGACTAGGTGAATACAAGCCACTCTAACTTTTTCTCACTAACCTCAGCAAAGTAGGCTAAGGATATTACAGAGCAGGAGCCAGATAATTTGGCAGATGCTAATATATACAATTATAAAAAGATAATGAGGACAAGAAAACACAGGCCTTTGGATAAAAATGAGCCTTTACTAGGAGAGCAAGAAAGCCGTCTTTCTTTTTCTAAGTACTTATTTCTGTAAACACTAGCCTGATGGGTAAAGGATATAAATACAGTCGGTATCTGTGGGGGACTAGTTCCAGGACCTCTCTTCCCACCCCTAAAATCTGAGGGTGCTCAAGTCCCTGTTTTAAAATGGCATAATATTTTCATATAACCTATGCATACCTGTATACTTTAAATCATCTCTAGATTGCTTCTAATACCTAATACAATGCCTACACATCACTTCATTCACATGGATTCAAGGCAGTACTTGAATGTGGCAAATTCAAGTTTTGCTTTTTGGAACTCTGCAGAATTTTTTTCCCCCTCGAATATTTTTTTACCTGAGTTTGGTTGAATCACATGTGCAGAGTCTACGGATAAGACAGCTGACTGTAACGTAGTAAATTTTGATTCCCAAGTATCTCATTAAGTATTCCCAAGTATTTCACATATTCAATGTTAAAATAAAATGATTTGGGCTGGGCGCGGTGGCACACGCCTGTAATCCCAGCACTTTGGGAGGCCAAGGCAGGCGATCACTTGAGGTCAGGAGTTCGAGAGCAGCCTGGCTAACATGGTGAAACCCCATCTCTCAGGTGTGGTGTGTGCCTGTAATCCCAGCTACTAGGAGAATCGCTTGAATCCGGGAGGCGGAGGTTGCAGTCACCTGAGATCACACCACCACACTCCAACCTGGGTGACAGAATGAGATTCGGTCTCAAAAAAATTAATAAATAAAAAATAAATAAATAAAATTAAATGATTATTGGTATTTTTAAAGAAAACAAAATATAAATGTTTTAATAAATTGCAGTTACATTCTTTTAACAAAAGTGCTTTAGAGTGTGCATAAGCAAGAAAAAACTAAAAGTTGTCTTGAAGTCTACAACTGTCATTTCCCTCCGTATAATACTGCTCTACATTCATAAAACCCTGTTTTTCTTGTTTGATACATTTGCCCAAGAGCTTGTCCTAGAGCTAAATTTTTCAACACTTCCCATGCATCACTTAAATAACAATTGTACTAGAGTTTGTTTTTATTACTGAAGGCAAAAACTCCATTTTATTTTTGTCTGCCCATAAAAAATTGTTGTATCTGATATTTTTTAAAATGTACATTTTAAAGTGCCCTATCGCATAATATGATCACAGGAAGAGAAAGTCATGTTAAAAATTAGCAAAGTAATTGTTTCTGCACAGAATGCATTTCTCAATTTGGGCAGTTCTCCCAGAATAAAGTAAACAAGTAAAGCAACTAGCACTCTCACTAGAACAGTGACAAGACATTTTCTTTTTAGTTTCTTTTCACGTATTAGTCTATTAGGATACTTGAATACTGTTTCTCTATGCTGGTGTCTAAAACCCTCAAAGGCGAGTACAATTGCAGGATAAACGAAGAGTGTCCAGGAAGAGAACTAGAGAAGAAAGGAAACAGATGGTCTCTGTGCTCGGTGAGCTTGGAAGCTGTCTAAAGCAAACTCGATTGGACCCTCCAAACCCCTATTTCAGATCAATCCATAAGGTTCAGCTGAGTTCGGCCTCCTGGCCCAAGCAAGCAAAAGCCAGCAACCCGGCTGGTCGGCGGCTCCCTCGCCAGGGTCGCCCCACAGCGAGACCATGCCTTTCTCACCCCTACCCCCCAAAACCAAAACCAAACAGAACCCAAGCCCAAGCGGTGCTTGCTCGTTTCTTTTGTCTTGCTCAACGCTGACCACTTTTTTCCGGAGAAGGTTAACGTTAAGGGAGCTCGGGGGAGCTCCCTGCGACCCCGCCAGGTGCTCCCCGAACCCCCGTCCCCATCAGAGGAATGAGGCGACCACCGAGCGGGGTCGGGCGGCCGGGTCCTCCCCGGCACCCCCGCCCCGGCTCCTGGAGGAGAGCAGGGCGCCGACCTGGGGCAGCCAGGGACGGAGGGGACCCGCGCAGAGCCAGGCCCGAGGCCCCGGGCGCCCCCACGACCCGGCGGCCACCCAGGGCGCCTGCCTGGGGCCTCACACCACCCGGGGCCAGGGCCGCCGAGGGCCGGACCGAGGCCGCCCAGCTTGTCCCCGAGGCCGCCGGGAAGCGTAGGCCGCCGCCATCCCCGGCCTGCCGTGCGCCCGCAGCCCGCGGCCTTACCGCCTCCACGGCGTGCTGCAGGATGGAGGTAAACTTGGAGAACATCCTGTCCCGGGACTGCAGCAGCCTCTCCCGGGACGACCTGGAGAGCTCCTCAATCCGCCGCCGCCGCCCCTGCTGCGGCTGCCGGGGCCGCTCCAGAGTGAAGGCCGGTGCGGGGCGGGGAGGACCAGCTGAGGACCGAGGCAGGGCCTGGCCCGGCCGCTTCAGGTGTGCGCTGGCGGCGCGGCGGCTCTGGAGGGCGCCGGGACGCGGAGGCGGCGAGGAGGGCGTTCGGCTCGGACTCGGGGCCCCGGGAAGCTCCGGCGGTGGCTCCGGTTGGGACACGGTGGCAGCCCGGCTCAGGTTCCTTCCGCCCGCTCTGCCCGCCGCGGCCTGCAGGGGGCGCCGCCGCGGCCCGGGGAGACCCGGCCAGGCCTGCCCTGCGGCGGGGCCGCTAGACGCCGCGGGGGCGGGGCGCGGGGGGCGCGGTGAGCCCTCGGCCTCGCCCGGGGCAGGAGGCGGCCTGGGGGCAGCCACCGCCCTCTCCCGGCTTTCTCAGCGCGCATGGGACACCGGCTTTCTGACATATTTACAGCTCAGCGGTTCTCAAGAGTTTTGTTTCTCCAGTGGAAGTAACAGGCTGACTTTATAGGGACGCGCAGCCGTCCATATATGCGTATAGTATTCAGAGGTTCTTTCTGTAAGGACCGATTTGGAAGACTCGTGAGGAAACAGTGTTCTTTAAGCAAACATTGGCAATGGATTTAAATGCTCAGAATTTGAACAAATCAACGACTGCAGGTGAAATTAACTTGCTAACTGTAAAATATATTATTCAACATTGAAACAGGAAATCCCACATGAGCACATGGTAAGACGGCTGGCTCTAAATAGCCCATTAAAATATTTATATATAATATATAGTAGAATTTATCTGTGACATGGTTGATAGGTGTAGTGATTCAGAACAGCATTTTCTATTCAGTTATCAGATGATACCGGAAAACAGTAGCGAGGGAAAGAATCTGAAAGGAGTCTAATAAATGTCTAAGGCGGATAAATAGAGCTACAAGGTAAGCACTTGGGTGGAGGTTGCTTAAAATTCTCCCCAACAGTGTATTAGTGAAGCCTTGAAGAAGCAATTCAGGCTAGTAAAGTTTAGGTTGAGTTAATACAAATTATGAAAATATTTGTATCCTGAAGAAATTTGTTTTATGCTGGTATTGGCATTTTACCAAAAGGATCATTAAGTTGTTAAGATGAGGTGGGGAGTGAGTTTTGCATGACCAGTGATGAAAATATATATCTGGCCCAGGCGCGGTGGCTCAGGCCTGTAATCCCAGCACTTTGGGAGGCAGAAGCGGGAGGATCACTTGAGCCCAGGAGTTCAAGACCAGCCTGGCTAACAACATGGTGAAACTCTGTCTCTATTAAAAATACAAAAAAAAAAAAAAAAAAAAGCCGGGTGTGGTGGTGTAATGGGATTACATGCTTAATCCCAGCTACTTGGGAGGCTGAGGCAGGAGAATCCTTGAACCCTGGGGGCGGAAGTTGCAGTGATCTGAGATTGCGCCATTGCACTCCAGCCTGGACAAGAGTGAAACTTCGTCTCAAAACACACACACACACACACACACACATATGTATACATGCATACACACATACGTTTATACACACACAAATATATACACACATAGGTGTATATACATAGATATACATACACACATATATATATCTGTAATTGATTCATGGAACAGAGAAAAGGTAGAAAAGGTGGCTGCCATATAGAGTGGTGGTAACTGGCCAGGCTCTGGGGCTGGGTAGCCTAAGTCCCAGCACTGCCACCCACGGTGGAAAGTTATTTAACTTCTTTGTGTTTTTATTTGCTTATATGTCAAAAAGGGAGAACAGTACCTACCTCCTGAGGTTGTTGTGTGAATTAATTAATATATGTAAAACACTTTAACAGTGCCCAGCCCTAGTAAGAGATGCACAGGCACTTATAATTGTTCTGAGTTGTAGTAGTGGTATTTAGCAAAATAATAGAGCCAGAAATCAAGAATTAAGAAGGAGATCTTAACTGGGCTTCTTTTCTCCCCTGTTTTTGTGGTTTATATCCCTGCGGTGCTCCACGGCAGATAAATACAACCTTAATTTTCTGTGCACTACCCCCAGAATGCTGGAGGCATGCTCTGCTGTTTTGTGCCCCTTACCAAATTCTGGCAAATTGTGTCTGCTTCAACCGAGAGCATGTAATGTTGCTTATTATTATTATATTCATACACAGTTTAAGATGGTTAGTCATATTATTAACCATAATTAGTTTCATGATCTAATTATCATGCATTTATATGGCATTTTGTAGTTCCAAAATGCCTTACAACCACTAATTGTATGAGGAGGTCTTACTTAGAGTTGTGTGTATTCAATGATGTCTATCTTTGTATACTTATAAACACAATAAAATATATGTTTTGCTCTAGATTAATATCAATATTTAAGATGCTGATTCATCTACCTGCTATCTAGGTTTCAAGACATACAAGTTGGACTAGAATTATAACTGAGCAGATATTCCTATTTCTGATTGTCATCCTAGAATGCCTGCTGTGACACTGACGTCAATTAGCCTAAAACATGGGCACAGTTAGACATGCCCCCAAAACCTGTGATTTGAGAAAACACAAGAAAACGTTCCCCTAGCCTCCCAAACACTTAGGTATGGGTACCTGAAATTTCTCAGAACTTAATGCCTTTATCCCTTTGGCTTAAGCCAAATAAGAAACTCAGTCCTTGTTAAAATGAAAATACTCTTGGGAGATATAACACATTAAACTCTGTCATTCATTAGACCTCAAAGGGAATGAATTGGTTAAATCCTTTTCTAAAATGAAGTTTAATTAGTGAAGACACAGAAAAATCTAGAAAATTGGAACCCAGTTGGGATGGAGTTGAGAAAAGAGATAAAAATAAATCTATCTTTTTAAAAAAAATTTTTAATAATAGTCATTCTGACTGGTATGAGATGGTATTTCATTGTGGTTTTTATTTGCATTTCTCTAATCAGTGATATCGAGCTTTTTTTCATATGCTTGTTGGCCACATATATGTTTTCTTCTAAAAAATGTCTGTTCATGTCCTTTGTGCACTTTTTAATGGGTTGTTTGTGTTTTTTTTCTTATAAATTTGCTTAAATTCCTTATGGATACTGGGATATTAGGCCTTTGTTAAATGCATAGTTTGCAAATATTTTCTCTTATTCTGTAGGTTGTCTGTACACTGTACAACAAACCCCCATGACATGAGTTTCACCTATATAACAAACCTGCACATGTATCCCTGAACCTAAAATAAAAGTTTTAAAAAGAAAGAGAAATAGACTTAGATGATACCTGCTTCCAAAGTTTGGCAGAGTTCTGGAATTTGTGAGTTGAACACGTGAATTGTTAGCAACATTCCCTCTTCAAATCACACTAAAATGACAGTAAAGGGATTTTCCAAAGCATATGCCCAAAAGGATAAATTAGGAGAGGAGAGAACAGCAACAGCGTTTTCAGAATTAGAAAGTAGCCATAAAATGGGTTAACTCTGACGTGGCTGACCTAAGAAAGCTGAATCCTAAGCCAACAATGAAGAAAGCCAGGAATCAAAAGTCATCTTGTTATCCTCCACAGAGGCTTTGTTCCAGGACCTCCGAAGGGTACCAAAGCTTGAGGATGCTCAAGTCCCTATTGTAAAATGGTGTGGTATTTGCATGTAACCTAGGCATCAATCTCCAATATACTTTAAATCATCTCTAGGTTTCTATAATACCTAATACAACATAAATGCTATGTAAATAATTGTTATACTTTATTGTTTAGGGAATAATGACAAGAAAAACCTGTACATGTTCAGTACAGATACAATTTTTTCCCCAAACATTTTCAAAAGTGTTGAAAGAGGATGCCTCTGTGGAACAGGAAATTGGGAGTTTGGGAGGAAGGACAGAAGCTTTCATAACACACTTTGTAAAACCTCTTAACTAAACCCTATGCTGGTGTAACACAAAGTTTGTTTGTTAAGGGGAGAAACTAGGAGCAGGAAACCATTTCTGATGCTTTTGTCTAAGTTAGACAAGGTATTATAAGGGTTCATCCATGTAGGAATAGAAAGGAGATGGTAGACTTGATAGATGAGATGTGATCAACCAAATTTTCCAAGTGATAAAAGGAGTGATTTGGTAAAGTGAAAGATGTTGCTGGAGTTTCTAGCTTGGAAGGAGTTAGTTGAAGAAGCCATTAATTGAAATAGGGACCATGGAGATGTAGAAAGGTGATGAGATGGATTTTTTTTAACATGTTAGAATTTGATTATCTATACAATTACATCTGTGTGAAGACAGAGTATGGGGTGATGAGTTTGAATTAGGAAGTAAAGAGATCTGGGCTGATAATAAAGACTGGAGGATCATTTCTTTCTTTATTTCTTTCTTTCTTTTTTTTTTTTTTTGAGATGGAGCCTTGCTCTGTTACCCAGGCTGGAGTGCAGTGGCGCGATCTGGGCTCACTGCAAGCTCCACCTCCCGGGTTCACCCCATTCTCCTGCCTTAACCGCCTCCCCCCACTCCCCCACGAGTAGCTGGGACTACAGGCGCCCGCCACCACGCCCGGCTAATTATTTTGTATTTTTAGTAGAGGCAGGGTTTCACCGTATTAGCCAGGATAGTCTTGATCTGCTGACCTCGTGATCCGCCCGCCTCGCTCGGCCTCCCAAAGTGCTGGGATTACAGGCGTGAGCCACCGCGCCCGGCTGGAGGATCATTTCTTAAACATGGTGATGGAGATATGAGAAAAAAATGAGGTAGTTTAGTGAGATGGTATAAAGGGAAAAGAATGGATGCAAACTTGAGGACTTCCTGCATTTAAAGAGTAGGAAATGGAAGAAGAGCTCATTTAGAAACAGCAGTCAGAGATAAGAAAACATATAGTAAAGAAGTTCAGGGAGAAGCGAGTTTCAAAAATTGAGAGGCTGGTTCAAGGTATGAAGATAAATTAGCTCAGTTCTGCGGTTGCCACAGAAACAAAAGGGAAGCTGATGGATCTCAGAACCTTCCATAAAAACCGTGAAGACCCTGGTGTTCAGTGTCGTATTTTCTTGGTGCGTTCTAATTGCAGCTGCAGTGGGCAGTTCTGTGCATGTTCAGACCCACCTCATGGTGACAGTGTCTCACTTTAATCCCATGCGCCCTTTGTAGAATTTTTGTCACTGGAAATTCTCTGTGTAGACAAGCCTGCTCTTTCCAAAAGCACAATGGAGTTAGCACTGTAGGGGCAATACTTTTTTTTTTTTTTTGAGATAGAGTCTCACTGTCACCCAGGCTGGAGTGCAGTGGTATAATCTTGGCTCACTGCAACCTCTGCCTCCCGGGTTCAAGTGATTCTCCTGCCTCAGCCTCCTGAGTAGATGGGATTATAGGCGTGCATCACCACGCCTGGCTAATTTTTGTTTTTTTCAGTAGAGACGGGGTTTCACCATGTTAGCCTGGTTGGTCTCTCGAACTCCTGATCTTGTGATCCACCCAACTCGTCCTCCCAAAGTGCTGGGATTACAGGCGTGAGCCACCGCGCCCAGCCTGTAGGGGCAATTCTTAGCCAATAGGGGATGGAATCTGATGGATAAACACTGCGGTGCTCTGTCTTCCTGGTAGACAATTGTGGGAATCAAATCTAGGAAGTGTTCTGAACACTCTTCAGGAAGTCCTGTGGGATCAAGTACACACTGACCACAGTGGTGACCACAGTGGTGACGCTTTTCCTCCTTTCCTCTCATTCTCCTTACTTCCTCACTCTGTGATCTGCAGTGAACTTCCTACGGTTAAGTCTTTGTCTT